CTATACTTCTATTGAATGGCAGGCCTAGAAGTACAGGCAATGAGTGTATCCACACTGCAGAATTAAAGCGGTTTGATACCACTTTAACAGCCATGGCTCTGCCTTACAGAATGCTGGGATTTGTAGTTTGGTGAGGAACCAGAGTTCTCTGACAGACCAGGCTGAATACCTCCACCAAACTACAAATTTCAGGATTCTCCAGGAAGGGGCCATTACAGTTAAAGCGCTGTCAAACTGCTTAATTTCTGTAGTGTGGCAGATCTCAATGTCTCTTGGCTAAAAGGCCATTCCCTTTGTTGTGTGTCTCTACTAGAAATGAACACTGTTGCTACAAATGCAGCGTTCCTAGGCTGGCAGAAGTCGTGGAACTACTCAGGGAAACGTTGAAACGAGGAACAAATCTACACTCCTTCTGCTGTAAACTCTTCAGGAGTTTCCTCTTCCTGACAACACAACTACTGTATTCACATCACGAACTACGCCTGCGCTTCATTCTCATTCAGACAGAGGGAAACAACAACTCCCGGCATGCACCTTTCTTAGAGACGCGATGACGTTCTCGCCGATGCATTCTGGGACCCGTCTTTAATCACTCCTTTCTCATTGGATGTAACCTTCCGCGACCAAAGAATGAGGAAATATAGCCCCATTCAAAAAACACGGCGGAACTAGAGCTAGTGGGGGTAAGGATTAATCTTAATCCCCTTTTACCTCTCCACAGGGATGCCCACAGTGCGGCGTGAGAGGAGCTTTCTTCCCCGAGACTCTTTTCTTCGAGGTGTGGGGGCTGAAGCACTTCCGTCCCGCGGAGGGAGCTTATATAAGAACGGCAGCGGGGAAGCCGGATCCTCTTTCGCCTCCTCAGCGTCGAAATGGTGGGTAGTGCACGCGCCGAACGAATGGCCGCAGAAGGCCGGAGGGTGGGCGAGAGGAAGACCCGGGGCGCGGCGGGGGGGATCCCTTGGGAATGGAAACCTTTCCGTGGAGGAAGGGGGCAACGGCCATTCCTCAGGGTATTCGTGTGCCCCTTTTAACCGAGCTTGGGGTGAAAAGAGACATAGGTTATTGTCATATCCCCTTCTAAATACCACCCTGCGAGTGTTGTAACAGATCAGTCCCCCCATCCTTCGAAGTGGTAGGGTCCCCCCCCCCCATTTTTCCTGACAGAATTGGCCTTGCGGCCGCAGTCAAAACCTTAGGCTCCGTTAGGGAAGGAAGACCGCCTGGCAGCAAGGACGATGGGGTGGGGAAATGGCGCCTGAGGGATTGAGGCCTAGCTAGACTCTCTCTTTTGTCTTTTTAAAGACCATTTCTGGGAATCATTCTCAGCAGCAGTGCCATTTCCCCCCTCTCTCTGTGGCGTTCGTGTTCACAACAAAGGGTGCCTCTACTCCAGTGATTCCCAAACTTTGGTCCTCCGTGTGTTTTGGACTTCAGCTCCCAGAAGCCCTAGCCGGTTTGGCCAGCAGTCAGGAATTCTGGGATTTGAAGTCCAAATCATCTGGAGGACCAAAGTGAGAGAGCCATTGGGTCACACTGTAGAAATAATGCAGTTTGACTTCACCTTCAATGTTTTCGCGCCATCCTGTGGAAACCCTGGGAGTTGTAGTTTTACAAGGTCCTTAAGCTTCTCTGCCAGAGGGCTGGTGCCTCACAAAACTGCAGATCCTAGGATTCTGTAGGATGGAGCCATGGCAGTTAAAATGGTGTCAAACTGCGTTATTTCTACAGTGTAGATCAGTGATTTGGAATCTTTGGCCCTCCAAGTGTTTCATAGAATCATAAAATTGGAAGAGACCTCAAGGGCCATCCAGCCGAGCCTCCTTCTGCCATGCAGGAACTCTCAATCAAAACGATCCTGGCAGATGGCCATTGAGCTTCTGTTTAAAGAAGGAGACTACACCACGCTCCAAGGGAGTGTCTTGCACTCCCAGAAGCCCCAACTACCTTGGCCAACAGTCAGAAATTATGGGAGCTGAAGATCAAAACACTTGGAGCACCAAAGTTTGGGAATCACTGGTGTAGATGAACGCAGTGACATCTTTGTTGGGGGATCCCAACTCTGCGTACAAGATAGAATCACAACCCATTTGAGTTCTAACATAAAACCATTGATGGTGCATTTCACATACAGAGCCAGCAAAAGAAAATAAATTAAAAATGTCACTGATGCCTAGAAAATTGAAGACACTATTTTTTGGACATTTAAGGACACTTGAGGCGACAGGAGGGGGAGCTT